AAAAAAATTATTTGAATGATAAAAATTTTTAAAACAACTATTCTTCATCATCATCTTACCTGAAAGGAAATATTAAAAAAATTATTGTTAGAATTATAATATATTTAGAAAAATTAGTAATTAATAGTTAATTATTTAAATAATTTAAGAAAAGACATATACCTGAGAATGGCCAAATTATCGTCTCCTTGAAGGAAAGAAGTTTTCAAAAGTTGTGGGTTGGAAGGATTCGCTGTCATAAGTAATGTCGCCATCACCCATATCATAAAGATCTCGTGGCCTGAGGTGAACAACTATAGTTCAGTCTTTATGTTTCTCGTCCTTGACATAGTAAACCTGGTGTGCCTCACAGGTAAGAATATATGGCTCATCATCTTCAGATTCTCCCGTATGAATGAGTCTAGAGAAATTAACAGAGGTGATACCTAAGTAGTCAATAGTAAGTCCCCGTGAAGTTGTCATATTTACCGAGGAGCACTTGAACAAAGTTACAGTGAAAAGCTAGTAACTTAACTTAACGATGTCAATTAGCTTTTCATAGTAAGTGACACCTCCAAAGTGCATATCGCCGTCACTATTGCTAGTATAACATCTCGTCCGAAATGTCCCGCAAACTCCAGACTTTTGTGTGAGCAATCTCTTATCACGTCCAACAGTACAGAACTTGAACCATTTGACATTATATGCAATAAACCTTCATGTATGGTCTAACAGACCAAGGGAAAGAGATTAGAATTCATTTTTGTATGGGCTGTTGTCATTACGTATTCGATGGGTAAACCAACCAGGAAACTCTCTATGGACTCTTTTATCAATGTTAACGAAACGCACACACCGTTGTAGCTGCCGCCTGAGGTAATTTCTAAACTCACTACAATGAAGTGTAATTTGTTATAAGAGTCAGTGAGAAACAAATATAAAGTGTGAAAGTTAGTGAGCTTATATAATACTTACTGCATGAAGGGTTCAACTTGGCTTCAATTTATCAAAACATGTTTGTGTGCCTAGAGTTTCTCTGTGAGAGTGAGTATGAAGAACTCATATCCTCCAACTGGTTTCTCATTAGGAGGAAATAAAGTTGACGTGAAAGGACCAGGAGGAGAATCATCTACATGACGTGAGTAGTTAAAAGATGCCTCCATGTCATCAAAGTACCTTGAACAGAAAGTTAGGATCTCATCTCCGGATTGACCTTCTTCTATTGACCCCTTAGGCCACTCCTTATTCCTAACATATGATTTTAATTTTTCCAAATACCTCCAGGTTAATATTACATTGATAATTGTGAGTAATTGAAGTAACAATGTCAAATTTAAAGAGACAGGGATAAAAGATAATCTAGTACCTCTCTATAGGGTACATCCATTGATATTGAATTGGGTCAACAACCTTTGCTTTTTGCACTAGGTGGACAATCAAGTGAACCATAATAGTAAAGAATGATAGGGGAAATATCATCTCTAAGTGACAAAGTGAAAGAATTATTTTTATTTTGTAGCTGATCGAGCTCTTTCGGTATTAAGACCTTCACACACAACTTCTTGAAAAATGAACACAATTCCACCAAAGCCACTGATATATTAGAAGGAAGTGTGTTTCTCAAAGCCAATGGAAGTAACTATTGCATAAGAACATGAGAGTCATGACTTTTTAACCCAGTAACCTTTCAAGCCTGCAGATCAATACACCTTGAGATGTTACTAGAATATCCATCAGGTACTTTTATGTTTTGCAGCATCGAAAGGAAGATATCCTTGTTCTGCTTCATCAAGGTGAATTTAGCTATTTGAAACTTGTCATTTTCATTAGGCCAAGCCTCTTCACGAATTCCCTGGGCCCATAAATCTTTTCTAGCTGCGAGATGGTCTTTGGACTTTCTAGTTTCGTTGAGCAACATATATAGCACATTATCGCACACAATTTTTTCAATGTGCATAACATCCACATTGTGTCATAGCAAATTAGATTCCCAATAAGAAAGAATGAAAAATATGCTTCTCTTCCATCATTGCATAGGTTCTGCATCAAATGTCCCACTAGACTGTCGCCCCAGTCACTGGGGATCCACATTCTTGCCAAACTCAACATCAACATCTTCTAACTGTTGCAAAATATCCACAGCAGACAAAGTAACAAGAGGATCTCTCTTTTCTTATTTTCCATCAAAGTGAATTTGTTGTAATCTAAATCTGTGCTTGGAATCGAGGAACCTTCGATGTCCTATGAAGCACCACTTGCGACTGTGTGGAAGGTGAGATGATACGACATCAAAATTGCACTCAAGACAGGCCAACCTAGTATGCATGTTCCAGCCGAACAAAGTTCCCAAACTGGGAAAATTACTTATTGTCCACATCAAAGCTGCACAGAGATTGAATAGTTACTTGTCATATGAGTCATATGTCTCAACACCATTCATCCATAGGAAGATCAATTCGTGTATCAACAGTTGTAGGTACACGTCTATATCATTTTTTGGTGCTTTGTTACCAGGAATGACCATGGAAAGCAAAAAAGAGCTATGTTTCATGCACATCCAAGGTGGGAGATTGTATGGAATTAACACCACCGGTCAGATACTATAGCTTGTGCTTATATTTCTGAAGGGATTAAAACCATTGGTTGCCAACGCAAGACATACATTTCTAGGATCACCAGTAAAGCCTGGAAATTCGGCATCAAACGTTTTCCATGCCTCCAAATCTTGTAGATGTCTTAACCTGCCATCTGGATTTTTCTCAGTCACATGCCGCCACATATGCTCAGCCATTTTTGATGACATATACATTTTTTGCAACAGTGGTTTCAAAGGAAAGTATCTAACAAAATAATATATTAAGAATTTTAAATATCAAATATTTAGAGAGAGAACAAGTAACACATTATAATGAATTGTATTGAGAATTTCAAATATCGAATATTTAGAGATGGAACAAGTAACACATTATAATGAATTGTACCTGAGAATTTTGGCTGGTTTCTTCTTCTATTTTTTCCCCTTTCGTACCGACTTATAGTGAGATGTCTTCCATCTTGTACAAATCTCCTTGTTTGCATCATCTTCCTAGTACAACATACAGTCATTTGGACATCCATCTATCTTATTGTAGTTCAAGCCAAGCTTGTTAATAATCTTCTTTACTTCATTAAAAAGATAGAGGGAATTCAACTTAAGGGAAAGCATCTCCCAGTAATTCCAATAGCATGGACATCGCCTTGTTAGTCATACCACACAATCATTTGATATGCTAAAGTTTTGCCAAGAATGACAATTTAGAATACTTTGTGCACCCAGAATAAAGAAGCTTATCAGCTTCGTTCATGAGGTCAAAAAATTTCCTGGCAGTTTTGTTTCTAAGGAACTCCGGTTAAGGCCCCTCTACTTCATCTTCATTGGGATCCTTACTTTTGAGAACCTCAAAAGCATCACACACAGCATCGTTCATGGCATCAACTTCTTCTGCTCGAACTTCTATCTATGAAACAACTGGAACTACTCAGTAATCATATCTAGTTGTTCCCTATGTAGTTGCCATATACATACTCTTACAAGAAGGGCTTAAATATAAAATGCTCTCTGACAATATCTCTTGGATGCTACTTCTTGAAATTACATTTAGGATATGGACACTGAATCTTACCGTTCATGGCGGCATTGGTGAGAACAAAATCCAAGAAATAGTTTAGACTATTCAAGTATTGCAAAGTCAACCGGTACAAGTTGATCCACGACCTATCCATCACTAATATTGCTCAAATTTCATGAACACAAGAAATGAAAAGCTCAAAGAGAAGTTAAAATGAATGTCAGATAAAATTCTTCAACTTATAAAGGAAGCTGCCAACAAATAGATAACGGTCAACATTTTCTAGCGGTTATAAAATGCTAGAAATTTCTAGCATTTATATGCATTTTCTAGCGGGTAGAACTGCTCGAAATTTGACTTTAGAAGAATTTTCTAGCAGTTTGCAACTGCTAGAAATATTCAGGTAGGAGGAAAATTTGAATTTGCCAACGGCAAGACTTTTCTAGCAGTTTATAATCGCTAGAAATGTCAAGGTGGGAAGGAAATTTGAATTTGCCAATGGCAAAACTTTTCTAGCGGTTTATAACCACTAGAAATGTCAAGGTGGGAGGGAAATTTATATTTCAGTGTAACAGTAAGAAATTTCTAGCAGTTAGAACTGCTAGAAATTGTTAGCTAGGATTTAAAATTTCTTGCAACCTTTATAGCGGTTTGTAACGACTACAAATTTCATCTGCATAAAAAAAATAAAATAGTAACGAATAAAAAAAAGGAATGAATGACTACTAATAAAATTAAACAACTATGGTTTTAAATAAATAAACATAAAATTTAAATAAATATCTACATAAAACATAACATAATAAAATCCAATACAATAGAAGGGCGTAAATCAGGGGTGAGAGGCAGAAACAACATCATCATGATCATCGGGCACTGGATCCTCCTGATGGGGCTGGGCAGGCTACTGGTCGTGCATGGGCTAGGCTGGCTACTGGTCGTACAGGGGCTGGATTGGTGTTAGGCATATGTCAGGGAACTTGGGAAACGAGATGTTTGTAATGAAACTGATCATCACATCATGCATAGCCATAACAACTGCCTTGAATTGGTCAAGCTATAACTGCAACTGACAATCATGCTCCTCCATCCTAGCCTCCGTCCTAGCCTCTATCATGGCCTCCGTCCTGGCCTCTACCTCTCGCTTGATCTCCTCTCACAACTTGTCTAAGGAAAAGGAACTCGGCTACTTCGCTCTTACACTCGCTTGATGGGACACCACTACTGACTGAGAGCTCCTCGTAGTGTATGAAGGGCCAGTGCCACCTGAGCGAGAACGCCTACTAGGTATGGGTCTAAAACCGAGCTCGCTAACTCAGCCGAGGTGCTGTGCTCAGCCACAACCTGCTATATGTGAGGCGGTGGGATCCAAGGCAGACCACTGAGACTCCCGCAACTTAGTATCAACCCGAGTTATCCACGCCTATCAAAATTAATATAAAAATATTAGTATGGAATATTTATGCTGTGATATTAATATTTAATTAATTAATTACTTACCGCCATCTTCTCAACCTCATCCGACATAAGAGACCCATCTCGAGGCCTGTATAGACTCGACCATATCTCCCCAAAGGTGGGCGTGTATCCCCACTATTGCAGCGTCTTTTCCGCCTGTAAATGAAATAAAAAAATTATTAATTACAAATTAAATACACAACATACAAATTCTTTTTATGTACTTACAATCTCATCATAGCGATAGCAAAGCTCCTGGATCCAGTCCTATGATGCATTGTCTATTGCCTGATGTTCCTAGTATTTCTCTGCGAAAGAGCCTAAAACAAAGCCCTTGGATGGTACAAAACAAGTATCTCACAGTGCAGACATAGAAAAGGAACTTTAACCCATGGAAAGAGAGCATCAACAGAATAGCGATTTGGGTAAGGTTGCCAAGATTGCCAGGGGATTACTACGATAGGAAGTTCTTTTACCACATGGGAAACAAGATAGGAACGGCAATTAGAGTAGACGAAATGACACTCACCAGAGCGAGAACTATGTTTGCTCGAATGTGCGTTGAGGTCAACCTAAATGTACCGTTGCTCCCTGCTTATTCAGTAGACGACAACCAGCTCAGAATAGAATATGAGGGACTAAACCTCGTTTGTTTTCATTGTGGAGTATTCGGACATGATGCAGACAAATACCCAAGGAAGCAAGGAGCTGCTCCAGCAACCAGAATGAACCCAAGTGAGGAAGGGGGGATCTGGAGGACTGAAAGCACCAGAGAATAGAACAACCGGAGAAGGAGCCGAAAAATTGGTGAATGGATGATAGCTCAAAACCCAAGAAGAGGGAGAAAACCTGCTGTAAAAGATGTCAGAACAGGAGAAGTGCAGAAGAAAGAGGGGAGATTTGACAGAAGGATGAAAACCACCTCGAGATATGCTGTATTAGAAATCGAGGAGGAACAGAGTGGAGAAGGGCAGGTAGAAGTGGAGAAAAGGAAGCCTCTGAATGAAATTTCTAACAATGGAATAATAGGAGAGAGTGGAAAGCAAGAAAAGAAAATAAGAGGCAAAGTAGGAGGCAAGTTGAAAATGTCAAAAGGGAAAGTGAAAAGTGGACCGTCTTCTAAGAATAGAAAGGGAGAGAAGAAGGCGGCTACACAAAGTGAGGATTAGAGAAGTCAGACAGTAGGGCCCAACAAGGAAACTAAGGAGAAGATAAAAGAGACACAAGGAGGACCAATCAGTACGAAACAACAAGGGCAAAAGAGTCTAAATGAGAAAGAACAGACTAGGCTGGAGGAGTTTGAGGAGATGGATATAGGGGAGAAAATAATCCTAAAGGAGGTGGGCCAGGAAGTTTCAAAATGCGAAGAAAGTAGCAAAAAACAAGGAGGGGCCCGGGAGGAGAACATAGGGGACCACTTCCTTGAAAGCATCCCTGACAAAGCTGGAGAAACCATGGAGTTAGATGAAAGTAAACCACCAAACCCATCTAGCCCAAAACACTTCATGGGCCTTGTAGAAGTGGAAAGCCAAAAGCAGGCACAGAGAGATCATAGACAGCATGGGAAATGGGCTAAACAAAGAAGGGGGAATCGAGGATGAGGAGATTCTAACAGAGATTACAGAGTAAGCATGTGTTCGACTGGACTGAAAATGAACCAAGGTTCTTTCTTCTTCCCGTATCTAGTTATTATAATGATAATAGTCTGGAATGCAAGAGGAGCAGCTGGGAAGAGATTTGCCTTAGCTGTTAAGGAATTAAAGAGGAACTATAAACCCAAGATTATGGTGCTAGTAGAGACGAGATGCTACAAAGATAGAGCCCAACAAGTAATAAAAAAGCTGGGCTTTAATCACCATGCATTAGTGGAAACTAGAGGAATGTCAGGAGGAATTTGGATGCTTTGGGATGATGAGAGCTTAAAAATTAAGGTTGAAGAGTCACAACATCAATTTCTACACTGCCATATCGCAGGATGGGGACATGGAGAGTGGCTTTTCACCAGGATTTATGCGAGTCCTCGTGAAACAGAAAGAAGAGAAATGTGGGAAAATCTGGCCAAATTAGCTCAAAAGATCACCTTACCTTGGCTCCTAACTGGAGACTTCAATGACATTTTAACTGAAGAGGAGCAAAAAGGCGGAGGAGGAGTAAATCTAAGGAAGTGTGCTCGATTTAGAGCTAACCTAGATAGATGCAAGTTGCTAGACCTGGGATTGGAGGGACCGAAGTGCACTTGGAAAGGTCCACGAACCGGCTTTGGAGGAAGAAGGTATAAAAGATTAGACCGAGCACTTAGCAATACCCAGTGGAGAAACAGGTTCTGCGACGCGAGAGTCAAAGTTGGGCCAAGAATTGAGTCTGACCATCACCCCCTCCTAGTCTACATAGATCCAATCAGGAATTATAACTGAAAAAGGCCCTTTAGATTTGAGGCAGCCTAGTTAAAACATCCAAATTTCCAGGAGATGCTAAAATGTAAATGGGACAAGAATGAGAAGATACGTGTGGGTCTTGAAAATTTGGAAAAACACCGATTACAGTGGAACACTCATACTTTTGGGCACATTAACAAAAAGAAAAATGAATTGTTAAGACGCCTGAAGGGGATACAAAGGAAACTACAAGAGGGCATTAATCCATATCTAGAGGATCTAGATTATGAACTCAGGGAAGAACTAAGAAAAATCTTAGAGTAAGAGGAAGTGTTTTGATTCCACAAAACCCGTACACAATGGTTAAAGGATGGGGATAGGAATACTTCCTATCACCATACTAAAACCACTGTCCGGAGAAGGAAAAACAATGTGTCTACCTTGAAGGATGAGAATGGAAATTGGTTTGACAAGAAGGAGGAACTAGAGGACCTTATCAACAAATTCTTTCAAAACCTTTTTACAGAAGAAATTGAAGAAAGACCTTGGGTGAACACTAGACATACCTGGCCACATGTTTCAAAGGAAGAGTGGCAGGAACTTGACGCTAAACTGGCTAACAAAGAAATAAAGAGAGCCTTGTTTTCAATAGGAGGAATGAAGGCACCAGGAGAGGATGGTTTCCCGGTCGTGTTCTTCCAGAGAAACTGGGAAATAGTTGGAAAAGAGGTTTTTAATGTGGTCAAGACAATGTGGGTTGACAAAGAGGAGATGCAAGAAGTAAACAAAACATTAATTACACTAATACTGAAAGTGGAACTCCAGGAGAAAGTAAGCCAATTCAAACCAATATCACTATGTAATGTGGTATACAAGTGTGTTTCTAAAATCCTAGTCCAGAGATAGAAAAAAATTATAGCCAAAACCATCTCACCTCACCAAGTCAGTTTTGTCCCAGGAAGGAACATACATCACAACATCATTATTGTCAATGAAATGATTCACTCAATGAGGAAAAAAAGAGGTAAGAAAGGCTACATGGCTATTAAGGTTGACTTAGAAAAAGCTTATGACAGAATGAGCTGGGGCTATTTAGCAAAGGTCTTGCAAGATCTAAAATGCCCCGATGAGATGGTGAACTAGTTGCTAAGTTGCATAAATACTACCACTACCCAAGTGCTCTAGCATGGATCTAAACTGGAGGAATTTAAGCCGTCTAGAGGCCTATGGCAGGGTGATCCCATTTCCCCATATCTCTTTGTGCTAGGCATGGAAAAACTTACACATATGATCTTAGACAAAGTGAGTGAGAGAAAGTGGAGAGGCTTGAGAGCAGGAAGGAGAGGTCCAATACTATCTCATATGATATTCACAGATGATTTGGTGTTATTTGTAGAGGCAAATATGCCTCAAACTGACATTATTCTTCAAGTTTTGCAGGTTTTTAAAGAGATCTCTGGGCACAAGGTTAGCAGCAAAAAAACACAAATTTATTTCTCCTTAAATGTCTCAAAAAGAGTGAAAAGAGAGATCTGTGGAAAGAGCAAATTTAAACTAGTAGAAGACCTGGGACGACACTTGGGAGCTAATGTTACCTTTCCGAGGAAAAGAAGAGATAAACATAGAGCGCTGATAGAAAAAATCAAAAGGAAGCTTAGCAGATGGAAAGCAGAAAGCCTATCATTGGCAGGAAGAATCACATTGGTAAAATCTGTCACAAGCTCCATGGTTCTATATCCAATCCAACATGAGAAGATCTCGTATAGAGTGGTTAATGAAATCGAAGGGATTCAGAGACAGCTCATTTGGGGAGAGCAAGAAGGAAAACGGAAATGGCATGTAATTTCCTGGGAAAGAATTTGTCAACCTAAGGAACAAGGAGGGGTGGGAGTGAAATCACTAGAATTAATGAATAAAGCACTATTGTTAAAACTCATTTGGACAATGAAAACAGAACCCACTGCTCTATGGGTCCAGGTAATGCAAGGTAAATACAGGAGGGAACAAGGCCCAATTGATAAACTGGTAGTGCAAGGGGCTAATTCTCACTTATGGAAAGAGTTGGCAAAACTCTAGACAGTCTTTGAGGAGAACATGTTTACGGAAATAGGGAACGGGGCAAACACCTACGTGTGGCTTGATAGATCGTTACAAGGGGAAGGAAGATTAATTGAGCTACTCCCAAAAAGGCAAATAGTTAACCTGAAACTTCGAGTCAAGGATCTAGCTAATGAAGATGGATCCTGGAATTGGACTAGAATACAAGAAGTAATACTTGAGGATATTAGAAGGAAGATTCAACCACTGCCGAGGTTGAATCCACAAGAGGAAGATGCAAGACGGTGGAAACCTGACATGAAAGGAGACTTCTCCATAGCAAGTGCTTACAAAAAGCTCAATGAACTCCCTGGGGCCACAAATAAACAGTATTGGCAGAAGATATGGAAGCTCCAAGTGCCGGAAAGGATAAGAATTTTTATATGGAGAGCTTCCCATAATAGGCTCCCCACAAAAGGAACCTCGAGTAAATGGAATGGAGAAAGTGATAGGTGCATAATTTGTCTTCAAGCCAAAGAAGACTTGATCCATGCCTTGAGAGACTGCAGCAAAATAGCAGAAATTTGGAAAACCATCATTCCAGATAAACTGAAACGCGGATTTTTCAGAATGGATTGGGCAAGCTGGTTACGAAACAACATAATGATAAAAGGACAGAACCCGGAAGAAATACAATGGCCAGAATTATTTGCAACTTGTTGTTGGTTCGCCTGGAACTGGAGGAACCAGAGTAATCATGACGAAGAATTTGAACTACCAAGGAACGCAAGGGATGCGATTCGGGAGCATATCAAAAATTACAAAGGTAGAGAGCCTGAATTGGTGGAGGAGGGAGGAAAAAATGAAATTAGGTGGATTTGTTAGAAGCCTCCGAGGAAGAACTAGTATAAATTGAACTCAGATAGAAGCATCAACCGAAGAGGAAAAAGGGGGTGTGGGGAAGTAATAAGGGGAGATTGTGGAGAATGGCTATGTGGATTTTCGATAAAATTGGGGGGAGTCAACATTCAACAAGCAGAAGTGTGGGGTATCATAGAAGGGCTACGATTGTGCAGACTGCTCGGATTTGACAAAATTGAAATCAAATGTGATGAGGCCCAGATAATAGATGAGATAAGAAAGGAAGGTAAAGTGAAAGGAAGTTACAAACTATCAAGGTTGCTGAAAGAGGAACTACAACCCCATTGGCAGGTAGAATTTAAACATATTTACCGAGAAGGGAATCAGGTTGCTGATAGACTCGCTGGTATGAGCCACAGAATAGAAGGGTCCCGTCAGTGCTAGATGACTCCACCTTTTGCCGTGGAAGAATTAGTTAGTCTTGACGCTGCTGTAATTGCTATACCTAGAAGAATAGAGATTCACTAATGTACTGGGCTTGGCCCCTTTGTTCACCAAAAAAAAAAGAGCCTAAAACAAAATGTATAAAAATTAAATTAGTCAAATTAGACAAAAAATTAAAAAAAATTTATAATTAATGCAATAATATCATACCATCTACTCAGCCAATATCCTAAAATACACAAAACTTGACCAATCTTGCTCCGGGATTCCACCAAGTATATCTGCCAGTATCTCTTACAGGGGCCTCGTTCGGTCACCTTTCTTCTCCCACCACAGGTCAACCCTCCTTTTCTTTCATGCCACCCCAAGTCTCTTACTGGTATCTGCCCTCAACTCCTCTCTGAATATAAATTTACTCTATAATTAAAAAAATAAAAAAATTATATTCATTTCACTAATTTAAATAAAAATAAATTAAATAAATAAATAGAATTATAATCAAACAATTAAGTAATTTAAATAAAAAATATATTCATTTAACTAATTTAAAAATATTATAAATAAAAATAAATTACATAAATAACGAATTATAATCAAACAATTAAGTAATTTAAATTAAAATATATATTCATTTAACTAATTTTAAAAAATTATAAATAAGAAATTAATTAATTAAATAAATAAATTATAATCAAAAATCAAGTGATTTAAATAAGAATATATATATATTCATTTAACTAATTTAAAAACACTATAAATAAAAAATAAATTACATAAATAAAAAATTATAATCAAACAATTAAGTAATTTAAATAAAATATATATATTCATTTAACTAATTTAAAAAAATTATAAATAACAAATTAATTAAATAAATAAAAAATTATAATCAAAAAATTAAGTGATTTAAATAAAAAATATATTCATTTCACTAATTTAAAAAAAATTAAATAAATAAAAATTAGTTACATAAATAAAAAAATTATAATCAAACAATTAAATAATTTAAATAAAAAATATATATTCATTTAACTAATTTTAAAAAAATTATAAATAACAAATTTATATTACCTTCATCACTTTCCAACCTTGCTGCTTCTTCTCTGCAGTGATTTTCTTCCAATTCTTCATATAAATAGGGAACAAAATCCACTACTGACCAAGAAAGCATACATACTTATTATATAGTTAGCCACCTTTCTTAGTCAGTTGGCCCAATTCATTCAACAACACAACCACCTGTCTACTTGTCATCATAGACAGATCTTTGTCTGTCAGCCTCCTATAGGAACTGTTCTCCTCAGAGTCTACAAAATTTAATTAGAAAATTAATTATATATTAATTAAATTAAAATAATTTTTATATAAATCAAATAGTTGTCAAATTAAAAAAATTAAATAAATACTTACCCACAAACTCTACTTCAAAACCGGTCTGACGTCTTGGAGTAGGACATTGCTCATTATGGGATTCTCATTCCCCTGAACCTCCTCTTCCTCCTCTTTCTCCTCACTAACATCAACATAGGGTTGTTCATCCCTCGAGAAGTGAGCCTTCTCAGTAGGCTGGATATCATCATACTTCATGAAGCTCAAGATATTCTCCTCGTTCAGATCGTAGTCATAAATGCTTGGGAATGACTCACCAGCATCATCACCCCCAGTACCATGATCCTTGTTGGGTCCTCCTCTATCAGGATCGATCGACTCCTTTCCTGGTCGACAAGTCATCCTAATAATAGCAAATAGCAATTGTAATGAAAAATATATTTTACAACCAGTAATTATTAAAAATAAACAATTATATCAAATAATAATTATTTCTATTAACTCTAAATAATAATATCAAATAATAATAATTAAAAAAATATATTTATACATTTATTTGTACATTTAAATTTGCCATCAGCTCAATAAAAACAATAATTATTTCTATTAACTCTAAATAAACTAGTCTATTATAAAAAATATATATATTTCTATTAACTCTAACTAAACCAGTCTATTAAACTCAATATAAAAATATAATAAAATAAATAAAATAAAAAATAAAAACAAAAATAATTTAAAAATAAATTTCTATTCTTACCTGAAAATGTGAAATACTATCTGGATCTGGATTTGGATATATTTTGTGGAGAGAATTTGACAGAGCTTCGCTTCACAATTCATCAAAAGTATACGACTAAGGCGGAGAGGGTATATATAGGCTGCGATTTTCTAGCGGTTATATGAAAACCGCTAGAAATTTGTAGCACTGCCAGTCCTCCACCACCCGCATGCAGCCACATGTCAGGCCTTCTTAGGAAAAATAAAACATTTCTAGCGGTTTCAATGTAAATAGCTAGAAAATTAGTTGAAATTTCTAGCGGTTATGGAACCACTAGAAAATACAATGACGATTTGCATTCTCTAGTGGTTCAAGCAACAATACCGCTAGAAATTAAACGCTGAAAATATGGTGCCAACTTCATGCCAAATGGAGCCAACAGTTGTGACGGTCACTTTTTAGTAGTTGGTTCAAAATTGTTAGAAATATGCGGGTCTCGCACCCTTTCTGGTCAAAGCGCTGCAGATTTCTTGCGGTTTTTGTTATAACCGCTAGAAATGTATACTTTTGTAGCAATTTTTTTAACCGCTGGTAATTTACTATTTTTTTGTAGTGTATTAGGTAATTAAATGTTGATTTAATCCAAAGATATATATGGATTATTCAGATAATATAAATTAAATTAATTCTTTAATTTATATCATATTTAATCAGGTAAATAATTTTATTAAATATTTTAGCCCAAGGGTGGATCCAAAATCTAACATCTCCTGCTCGTTCTTGATGGTTCTACCATCATGTGATTAACATATCTCCCGTGTTACATACTTGGTGCTCTATTATAACCACGCGGCCTACCACCTTCAATTTTAGATGCTTGTGTACTAGAAGTCTCTTATATAAGATCAGCACCCAAGGACATTCTAAATGTACTTGCAAGATGTTTGTACATTGTCTTAAATGCCCTAGATTCATCCATACATGTTACTTATGGCAAGCCTAAACTCTCAAGTTAGTCTCTTTTAACTCAGACTGTCTTCTCTTTTGCACAACATCCACACTTGTGAGTTATTCAAATGAATGGTAAAGGACTAATCACAAACATGAGTACAACAATGTATTTTAGGGTAGACCTTTCTTCTCACTATTCATCAATCGAGGTTGAGATGGTCGTTTTCCCATTATTTGACCCATTAGATTGAATCATTCATGATCATAAGGTATAAGCTAAAATAGCTACCACTAGGTCAGTCCTTTATGACTCTATATCAAAATCTTAAGGGCATCATGAAAGGATTTATTCCTTTTTGGGACTCATTGTGTGATAGAACATGGATCTTTCAACCCACATTCCTCATTGTGATTTATATAAATGCATACAGTATGAATTGCATGCTATAATGTTTGTCTTAGCTTGTAAGAATGTATGTCTTTACACCATGTAGACTTACTAAGTTCTAGATATTCACAATACATAAACCTCAACTCACAACTCCTAATGACATCTTTGAAGAGTTCTTTGCCTAGCTATAGGTCTCACAGAACGTCTATCTATGATTCAATCCATTTTATATGGATCTCATCTTAAACTCATATGAGGCGACACATATGCAATGATACTTCTTGACCATTCCACTACTTTCACTAGTGGATGGTGATCACATGTGTCTCAACATCTATGTTCTTTATAAACCAAGGTTCAAAAAACTGGACTGGACTGGCCAGTTCAAAGCAGAAACTGGTGAACCGATCTTTGGTTCAATCCAGTTCAACTTATAAACTGGCCTTGCAATCAACCCGAAAGAGCCAGGATGGACTGGAAAAAATTGGTACAAACAAGGAAAATTGTTGGGTTGGATGGGTCGCCAGTTCCTTTTTTCTATCATTTCTTTTCCACTCTCACCATTGGCTAGAGAAGCTACAAACTGTCTCATGTTGCTCGAAGAAGTTGTAGATACTGGACATTGCTGAGATAAATGGTAAGAGTAGAGAAAATTATGGAGAGAGACTCAGAAATTTGTTTAGAAGTCTATTGCATGCTTCTTTGATTCTACTTGTGGGAGAGTAGAAGGCGACGAGGAAGCCAGAAGATAATGGAGTGGGATGAGATGTGTATAAAGAAAGAAAAATTAGACTAGAAGAGCTCGAGAAGGGCAAGAAGCAACTAAGAGAGAGGAGTGATGATAAGTGTTTTCGAATAGCAAAGTCTGCGTGTCCATTTTCAAAGCAAAAGAGAGAAGAAAGAAAGAAAAAGCTAATTTGTTATGCGTGTTATGGTGCGAAATGTCAGTAGCATCACGTGGGAGAGAGAAGAAAGGGATAAAATAATAAAAAGATAAGGATTTTAATGGGTAAAGAGAAAAGGAGAAAAGCTAAAATAGAATAAAAGAAATAAAAAAAAGAAAAATTTTCATATATTTTTATTCATTTTAATTAAATTATACTATTTTAATTATTACCGATCTAGTCCCGGTTGAACCCTAATCTGACCTATTAATCCTTAACCTACTACA